GGAATATTTATTTGAACCAAAATTATTTTTATTTGAAACAACTAAATGGTATTTGTTTCAAATACAGACATTATTGGTCCCAATATAGTTTACTTCATTCAAATAAAAATTATTTAGTTCAAGTAAATATTTATTTAAATATAAACATTAAAAAATTGATTTGATTCAAATAATCTGTTACTGAATTATAATCAAATAAATATTTACTTGAACCAATAATATCTGTATTGAAGACAAATACAATTTAATTGACTCAAATAATAATTGTTCATTACAAATAAATATTTATTTGATAATAGTCAAGGACTCGTTTATTTAAAATAATTTTTTTTTCCTTGTATATAACACCGTTCGACACAATTTTTGACCCACAAAAAAATTTAACATTTTCGAAAACTAGGACCCAAAAAAAAATACCCGTATCTGGCCGTTTGTGGTTTTTAGGGGTGAAAACAACCCTTAAATGAAAAGTGACAAGATATCTTTTAAAAATTATTAATATTTTATAAAATTTGGTATCTGGGGGTTTTCGGGGTCACTGATTATTATTAATCTGATGTCAGATTTTCCGAATTGAAAATGGCGGATCCAATATGGCGATCAAATTTTTAAAAAGTTATTAATTTTTTATTTTATATCTGCCATTTTGAATTTTGACAATTTAACATCAGATTCGTCATCAGCGACCCAAAAAAAACCCCTAGATATCAAGGTTTCAAAAAAATTTAATAACTTTTTAAAATTTTGACCGCCATTTTGAATTTTGAAAATCTGACATCAGATTAATCCAGATACCAAGTTTTATAAAATATAAATAATCTTTTAGAAGATATCTTGTCACTTTTCATTTAGGGGTTGTTTTCACCCCTAAAAACCACAAATGACTTGATCTAGCAAAACGGTCAGACACGGGTATTTTTTTTGGGTCCTAGTTTCCAAAAATGTTGGATTTTTTTGTGGGTCAAAAAAAAAGTTGAATTTTGTCGGACGGTGTAATATATTATTTATTATATTTATAATATATAAATTTTTTTTCTGTGTGTATATAATAATTAATTTTTACTTTGTTAACGTTTTTTTTCCATAATATTCAAATTTTTTATTTTTTCTCACAAATTTCAATTGAAAAATTGAAAAAAAAATTAATTTATTCAAAAATTCGTTCAGAAAAAAAAAGTTAGAAATTTTCCCTTCATTTAAAAAATCACATATGATAAATATATTATGCTTTTTCGAATGAGTTTCGAAGAGAGAATTTGAAAAATTGAAAGAAGAAGAAGAAGAAGAAGAAGCTAGAGGGAAAATTTTGTATTTTGAAAAGGAACTTCGAAAACCAACTAGATAAACAGAGGAATGTTTTAACATTGAAGCCACTTCGAATTTGTCCTAAAGCAACCTCGTTAAGAGACGTATATATATATAACGGTTTGACTAGAAAGTAGGTCGAGTGAAAATAGCGGTGTCTCTTACAACGTGTGTAGCGTGCCATTTAACATCAATGGGGTTTTTTCTATTTTTCAACGACGTTAAAATGAAAGAAAAAGTGAGAAACAATATTATATATTCCTTGCATTCATTAAAAAAAAGAAAAAGTGTCGCTACGTAATGTTTGCCTTTAACAAAACAATTGGATTTTCCCCCCGCGCACACGTGTTATCGGCCTCAATGTTTAATGAACTATATATAACCCTTTTTTTAATCCATCTTGCTCGATCGTTCGTTAGAGTGGAGAGATCCATCATGGTCGATTAAAAGATTGGGTTCTTCGCCTTTCGTTAATTAAAATCAAACCATCTATTGATTTTGTGCGTATATATGATACACTTTGTAAGAAACAAAAACAAAAAAAAAAAAAAAAAAAAAATCGACTCTTTATATATAGGACGGTAATAAAAGCCGCGATCGACAATGGATCCTTTGACACTGACGTGTCGTTGTGTCAGATTACAACTTGTCGTCAATTGACGCAGCTTTTTTTGCGTCTATATAAAGCTCTAAAACTATTTTGTGAATCAAACGAAATGACGCGTACAAAAATTCTCAGAATATTTCATTGTCAGTCAAAAAGAGATAAAATGTCGCCAAAAAAAAAAATATCAGCTACAAATTTCACCCTTCTACAATATTATTTATTGAATATTTATTTCCAATAAATATTTAGCAAATCATTAAAAAAAAATTGTTGAAAAAATATTTACTAATAATTTTCTCTGTTTAATAGAAAATAAACATTTTTTTTTTTCATTAGAGTAAAGTTCACAACGTAAATAAAATGAAATTTTTATATAAATTCAATTCAAACATGAATGTCATATATTTCGTTTAAATAAAAAATTTATCACAAATCAATTTTTTTTTCATTTTTTTCCTTTCAGTATAAGTGAAACGTTTAAACAAAAATAATTTTTTTTTTTTTCAGTGCATTTACAAAAAATCATAAAAATCACATTAATTTCTGTACTAAAAAATGTGCCCTCTGAACCAGACAAAATGATTAATGGCATAACGACAAATCACGTCGAGTTATGGATAAAAGTTTTTAAATTTTAATTTAATAAATAAAACATTTTTATAATCAACGACAGATGCATGAAAAGTTAATATTTTAAATATTAGTTTATTTAATATTTTAAAGCTCAATGTATGATTTTATCAATGGTACAAAAATATGAAAAAAAATCTGCTCTGATGTTATTTAAATTTTGAAGAAAAAATATATTTTTTTTTACGAAAAATTGTAGCAAAAAAAGGCGCCATTTTAATTTTTTACTCTATTCTCCAAGTACTCTAATTAAAATTGTCAATAGTTTAAATAATGAATGTACAAATTAATAATGAATAGTTAATTAATAATAATTATTATTGAAAAAATATAATAATTAATAATTGAAATATTGACATTTAACATTTTTTATAATAATTCCAATCCATTAAATTAGTCGTTGACCCAATTATTGGTAACGTTAAAAATTATTTAATTAAATTATTTTTTTATAATTTAATTATTTGAACAATTTATATCATATCAATTTAAATAAATTAATTATAAAAAAAGAACTGACAATAATTATATTAAAATTTAAATTAATTACATCTATTAATAATTAAATGAATAAATAATAAATAATAATAAATTCAATAAAAGTCTATATTACAATATATATATATATATACACGGAAATAAAAATGTACATTTTGATCAATTTTAAATTTCTTTATAGATTTTTTTTTTCTATTTTCCAGATGGAAATTTTCTTCATCCTTTCAAAATATCTAACTTATCATTTTTCAAAAAAACACTCTTTTAGTAATAGATATATACTTTTTTAGTGTGAAAAATATGTTGTAGAGCAAATACATATATATATATATATATAAGCTTATATTGCACTGTGAAAAATATTTTTCATAAAAACTTTTAACTTTTTTGTGCAATCTTTTTAAGAATTTCAATATCCATAAAATGTGGATATTGACTCTTTACCACAAAAGAAATTTTATTAAACATTTTTCTATACTTAATGTCAGTAATATGTTTTAAGCATATTTATATAGATCTGGAAATGATTTATAAATTTTTGCGAATGAACGAGGAGGTTTCAAAAAAAAAAAAAAAAAAAAATAGTAAAAATTATAGAGAAAAAGCTTTAAAATACTAGCAATACTAGTATTATTAGAATAATGTTAAATAAACAATAAATCATGACAAGATGTAATTTTCAAATTGAATTTTAAATTCTAAAATTAAAAAAAAATTATCCACTTTATTTCATGCTATGAAATTTTTTACTAAAGAAAAATGGGTTTCCTCATAAACTTGTATCTTAAAACAAAATTTCGTGAAAATACGTCTGTTTTTATACGACTTTGATTGAATTTATTATTTTATTTTTAAAATTTAAATTATCGAAATCGCTTTTCTTAAAATGGTCAATCAAAAATTTTTTCGGTTCAGAAGGCAGTTTTTCTAAAGATCTGTTTTTTTTCTATATTCATTGTATACCTTAAAGATCTGTTTCGAAAATAAAAAACTCTCTAAATCTGAATTAGTGAAAAGTGAGCTACTGATTTAAATTAGTAAGAATTTTCACTAATTTTTAGTCATTTTTTACTACTACTACTACTAGTACTACTAATAAATAAAATAGTAATATTTTACTAAAAATTAGTAAAAATTCTTACTAATGTGAATTAGTAGCTCACTTTTCACTAATTCAAATTTAGAGAGATTTTTTTTTTTGATTCTTTTTTAGATGAAAAAAATATTATTTTGTAAAAATAACTCTGGTCGATAATAATCAAAAATATATTTGTAAATACAAAAAAAAGTGTTTTTAGTACCAAAATAAAAGTCCCTAAATTTCGAAAATTATTATATTCGAAGCACTCTCTAAATCTGAATTAGTAAAAATGTTTACTAATTTAAATTAGTGACTCACTTTTTGCTTTATAATTATTTAAATTTTACTAATTGTTAGTAAAACTTACTAATAATTAGTAAAATTTTACTAATTCAGAAGCAAAAAGTGAGTCAATAATTCAAATTAGTAAACATTTTTACTAATTCAGATTTAGAGAGCAAAAGAAGAATGCAAAGATTTTGAAAAAAAAAAAAAACCCAGTGGAAAATTTTTATATGTGAATTTCAAGAAAACAGATATCTCAATCTCATGGTTATCACAACCTAAAGATAATTCAAGACGAAAAGAAAAAAAAATTTTATTTATATCCTTATATCTCAAGAAACAATTTTCTTCTAACGCAAAAAAAATTTCACCCTAATTTTTATAGCAAAAACAACCGAAAAGATTGAAAAGAAGAAAAAGATTAATTTTTTTTTTTTCGTTTTCTGTAAAAATCAATTTCACTTCTCTATATATTTTCTAAATAAAGGAAGCATTTATTGAGGAAGTCCGATATAGCGCGATAAATATTTCAAAGCGTGTGCCCTCGTGCGAGAAGCACTCTAGCGATGAAAATCGTATTACATCTCGACTCACCGCTTCTTCCAGTTGGTGTTGGTGCCGATGGTGCTTTGCTTGTTGGCTCTGGAATCGGATAAATCGGGTCGCAGCATTCCCTCTCGGGAAACTCACTTCCGTTGACGAGACACCTTGACAAGAGGACGGTCAGCGTAAGGAGCGCCGAACATGTCAGGAGAGACCTGACACGTGACATGGCTCGTCTCTTCAGGGATCTATCATGATACAGGACCTTAAATTCGATCCTCTCTCTCTCTCTCTCCCTGACTTTCTATCTCTCTCTCTCTCTCACTCTCTCTCACTCTCTTCTCTCAATCCTGTCCCTTATCTTCGGTACTTCAACTCTCCAAGTTCCGTCTCTATCATCACGTTGTCTCTCTCCACAGATGAAAGCAGCTTCTTCCTCTCCATGTGGATCATCTTCAATAACTCCAATCACTTCAATTCGAGTTTACACAACGCGCACTTTAACTCAACTTTCATTTCAGATTTCACACAAAAAAAAATGTTCAAAAAAAATAAAAATTAAAACCTAATTATTAAAAACGAATAAACTGAATACAATCAAAGACAGGTCAGAGTCCATGATAAGGAAAAGGGTGGAATCTCACCGGTACGAAGTCGTACCAGTCTCGATGCACGCACTCACGGAAACAAAACCCTACCACGCGCGAAATGAAGGAATTTTTTTTTTTTTCTTTTTTACACTCGCGTCAAGGAATAACACATTTTTTTTCGGAAAAAAGAAATAATTTTTAGTATTTCATTATTTTAAGAATGAAAAATAAGAATAAAATCGGATATCGTTGCACGTGGTACATATTTTGGAATGATGAAAAAAAAAAATAAATTTGAACAACCGGTAATGCGGCAATAAACGTTGTCCACGTGGTTCCGACGAGACTGACGCGCGCCTCGGTGTCCCGACGCCCAATGATGGGTGGTTGTGCGATAGAGAACCAGCAGAACTCCTGCACACTCCACTTCTCACACACACACACATAGAGAGAGAGAGAGAACCCCTTTCAACCTGCAACCCCAAACCACCCTTATATTCAGCCACTACTACTACTACTACCACTACTATCACGCGAGTAAGAATTCTACGAGCAACACCGAGTGATACCGAGTCATTCCGAATGATCAAAGTATCCAGGCTATATAAGCCCCTGCTCTGCGCTGAACGACCCTCCTTTTTCGAACACCGTGTTCCTGACCTCGTTCCACGGTTTGTTAGAGGGTCGGTTACGGTGAAGCCTCGGGCCCTCACAAACTGACACGAAAGTCAAGTCATCGTCTGCGATCGAAGGTCAACGCATCTTTCAAAATTTCTCAAATTCTCCTATTTACAAGGACATTCATATGTATTGAACTCTCTCTCTCTAAATTGTCTAACGATATCTTCTTGAAGAGAAATCTTACGATCCTTTTGGACTGAAACTATTACTAAAACCTACACTATATGTAAAACGCAAGTTAGATTTTAATTCCCAACAGGATTATATAAAAGTGGAGTTGATGCTAAACGGAAAAAAAAGGAATTGCTTACAGATGCTAACTGATATTTGCTATCGGATCTATCAAAATTAGTAATGTAGTAATGTTAGTAATGTTACTGATTCAAATAGCTAGAATTTAGCGACTGATTTGAGACTAGTGAATTTTTCACTGATTTAAATTTAGACAGCGCTTTCCCTATATTAGCTCACATAATTTGATGTGGCAGCAAATAGTTCGCTGCCACAGGAAACTTTTTCTATGCGTGAAAGATAGTTAATCTTATGTTAACTCACTTTTGGAGTTGATTTTTAACTCCAAACATTTTATATTTTCAACTATTAACTGCTAAAATTATTTACCTATATCTACAAAAATACAGTTATTCACTGTAAAAAATTTCCTAAGTTAATGACACCCGAATTATAGGGATTAAAATTTTTTGAATTAAAAATCAATTCCAAAAGTGTGTGGAATATAGAGTACCATTGGGAGTTAAAATCTAACTTCCTTTGTTTACAGTATACACCTAGACAAAAGATTTCTTTGACAGAAAGCAAATTTATTTGTTTCAAACAAATTATCTTTGATTCAAAAAAAAAATTACACAGAGAAAAATGGAAAAGCGAATAAAGTATAACTTTTATTACTTTAAAAGTGAAATCTAAACTATCCGCACTTTTTCTCTAAATCTGAATTAGTAAAAATATTTACTAATTTTTAGTGACTCACTTTTTGGTTTAGAATTAGTTAAATTTTACTAATTTTTAATTAAAGTTACTAATAATTAGTAAAATTTTACTAATTCGGAAGCAAAAAGTGAGTCATTAATTCAAATTAGTAAACATTTTTACTAATTCAGATTCAGAGAGGAAATAGTAAATTTTACTATTTCTGGAGCATAAATTGACAAAAACTAGGCAGATTAAAATTTTACTTTTAAAGTAGTAAAAGTTACTTTATTCGTTTTTCCATTTTTCTTCGTGAATCTTCTTCGTTTCAACGAAATTTTTCACTAAAACAACGAAAGTTTTTCATACTCTAAATAAGCATATAGCTGATCAAAATGAAGATTTTTTACCGTGCTTCTATCTATAGACTATAATTAACTTTTACTACTGCAATTGAAATTTAAAAAACAATATGTTTTAATAACTTCTAAAAAGTCGTTGAATGTCTGACTAAAACACACTTTTACTACTGATAATAAAATAATAGCATCCAGAAAGTGACCAAAGCTAACTACTGGCGAGTTTTACAGTTAAAAATGGTTCGTCTGACTGTAACTGTCTTTTGCTGCTAATACAAAGATTTAAAGAAATCCTAACATTTTATTTCGTCTGACTATAAATGATTTTTACTACTTAAACTTTATTACTTAGAAAAGATTTTAGAAAAAACTTTCCGGATGATTTAAAATTTAAAACGTTCTGTCTGACTAAATCGGTCAATTACTACTGACACTTAAAGTACACTCTCTAAATCTGAATTAGTAAAATTTTTTTACTAATTTAAATTAGTGACTCACTTTTTGCTTTAGAATTAGTTAAATTTTACTAATTGTTAGTAAAAGTTACTAATAATTAATAAAATTTGACTAATTCAGAAGCAAAAAGTGAGTCACTAATTTAAATTAGTAAACATTTTTACTAATTCAGATTTAGAGAGCAAGTTAAAACGTTTCTGCAATAAAAAAATTTTTAATTCCCTATTTAGATTTAAGAAATATATAGTGCTATTTTTTTCATCCAAAATTTATTCGAGAATCAAGCACTATTTTTAATAGAAAAAAATCTGTCACAAAGTATCGTTATAAATGGATACAATGCAAAAATAAAATATTGAAGAGAATAAAGTCAATATGAATATGTCTTTCTGTCGTTTATGAAGGTAGGATTTTATATTGTAAGAACGAAATCGTGAATAAAATATAATACAATATCCATAAAATATATACATTTGATATACATATATTAATACTGAATATTGATTTTTAAATATATATATATATAAATATTTCAACTCATAAAGTCATATAAAAAATGAATCACTAATAAAAATAATTTAATACTTAAAAAATTGTCCTAATTCAAATTTTAGAAATTAAATATAATAATTTCGTTAATATATTTTAAATGTTTTTAATATAGTGTATATATAATGATATAATCGATTTACAAATTACATTTAGCTTGAGGGCAGGTGTGATATTAATTTTCCCCATAATAGAATCGTTAACCCATACTGGCTTTCGAAAACGAAATTATATTCTAATCAACTTTAAAAATTAATCATATTCCTTGGTATTTTTAATATAGAAACAGTTTATAAAATAAATTTTTTACGCCTGTTTCTAAATTAGAATTTTTCTTTCATAAATATTTTTATATTTTTTTATTTTAATTTTATAAATATAGCATTAGTTCCTTTTCTCATTTGAAATAAATCTAAGTGATTTTATTATTTGAATTATTCTATGTGTTTAAAATTTTTTTTTCGACTCACCGATAGATGCTGCAAACCCAGATGACACTCCTCAGCAACTTTCCATCTCTTTTTCTTTGAAATGAAGTTATCCATCTTCTAACAAAACACTAACAATAAATAATAAATTATTATTAATTAAAAAATCAAAACTCAGATAAAATCAGTAAAAAAAAATAAATAAAAATACAAAACTTTCTCAAATGTTTATTAATTATATATCTATATGTATATATAATTTAATTATTGCTGAGCCGACTTACCAAAATTGCAACGGAGTCCGAAATTTCAGCGTTCATGAACTTTCCTATGTCTATTCCAAAACTTCCACTTTGCAGCTTCAAACTCACTCTAGAGCACTTCTATTAAGAAACCATATAAACAAATATTAATTAGGAATATTAATGCAATAATTATATATAAGTTTCGCTTTTCATTTTTAAATAATCGCAAAAATGTAATATTAAATCTTCAATGTTGATTATTTAATATTTTTCATGAATTATTGAATTATTGAAGTATTAAAAATTCTTTAAAAAAATAAGTTTAAATTTCACTTCTGACGATAAATTATTCTATTTATCATAAATATTACATTGTCTCATTAAATTATTCGATAAGAATTTATACCTTAGATGAAATCTCAAGAAAATTATATCGTTTAATATTTTATATTAAATTTTAAAAATAATAAAAATAACTATAGCCTGGTGTCTGAATTATAATTTTTTAAAATATATAAATTATAATTTAAACACTTGTAAAATACAGAAATATATATATATATTTATAGAAAATGTAAAAATATATTTAAAGAAAACGTTAAATAATAAAATACACTGAGAAAAATATGCTATTGATTCAATAGTATATTTTTCTCATTGTATAAATGTCCAAGTTTGTAACCAATCGTTTTCTATTTTTTAATTTAAAAAAAGTTCAAATGTACAATAAAGATTTTTCTAAAATCGGAAATAACATCTTTAAAATAAATCTCATTAATAATTGTCCCAATTTTTTTGCTTTGAAAATATTTAACCTTTTAAACTGAACACAAACTGGAACAAATTATAAAGAAGGTTACAAACTGCGGGACATTCACCTTAAATAGAAAGTATAAAAAAGAAATTTATATAAATATAAAATTTATAAAATGAAAATGTTTCCATTTTTGAAAGATTTATATAAAAATTAATTTTCAATTTCTCTATCGTATACAATATATATATATATATATGAGATATCGTAATTCGCTTTTCAGTAGAACGAGCCCACTCTTAGTCAGACATACAGTACTCTACCAATTTCTATGAACTCTATTATCGAACGTGCATTTTATGTCAAGGAAATCTTTAAATAGACTTTTTCAATTTCAAGACACAAATATTCTATCGTATAATAACTCAATATTGTGTTGCACAAGTTTTTCGCCGATTCACAAATCCTTTATTTTGCAACTTCAAAGAATTTTCTTTTAAAACCACCAAGTTCTCTCTTTTAAATGAAACTTATTTATCATTTGAAAATTCCCAAAAGCATTTTTTTTTTTACAATTACAAAAATTGTTGCCAGAAAAATATTTTTTTATACTAAAAAATGTATTTTTAATAAAATTTTTAACTAAAAAAAAAAAACAATTATAGAAAATATATTGAATTAAGATGATTGATATTTTGTAATCGAGAAATGAATTTAAAAGCTTAGCATTTGGGAATGCAATGATACTATAATTCTAAAGGGTCACCACATTTTGATCTCAATTTGTGTTGATAACGATGGTCTTTATCGTGATTGTTAACATGTGGAGCAGCAATCGATCTACAATCTACATTAAATTGATGCCGTTAAGCATCGACTGCGGTCATACCAAAAGTCACGATCGTCGTGTCGTCTGCGGTCACGGCAAAGTGACAGCAAGTACCTGCATAATGGCTCGACTGCAGCCCTTTCTGCATGGCGCAGACTCACCTGCAAGTTTGCCACACAATGTAGGTATAACAGGAAATCCTTCTCCCTCCTCCCATCTATTCTCCTCCTAAACTATAAAGTTAATATATGTTTCACATTATTTCCACAAAACTTATTTCTAAAATCCCGCACTATTTGCCGCACTCTTAATTTTCAAAAAAATAAATATTTCATAAATTACTAACGGTAACAGAAATTCCTTACTTTTTCGCAAAAACTATTATTATTCTAAAAAAATGTTCTAATATTTTGCTTCTATTGCTACTTGAAGTAGTCTAAATATTTTTTCCTTTTACAATATGAAAAAAAACTCGATTACTTGAAAATTATTAAATAAATATTTATACTTGAACCAAATAATTTTTAATTTGATTAATTATTTATTTGATTAAATAAATAATTTGTATTTGAGCCATAAATTTTTGTATTTGAAACAAATACCATTCAAATAATAATTATTTGAAATATTTATTTGATAATAGTCAAGTAACCGGTTATTTGAATCAAATAATTTTTTTTCAGTGTATAGAAATTATATAAAAACTATTGCAAATAACATATATTTAATTTTTGATACTTAAATTATTTATTTTCAGTATTTATAATTTATATTCAAATATATAAAATAAAATAAATACAATTGTTTTTTACTACTGGCACTTAAAAGTAAAAGAAATTAAAATATGTCTGACTAAAAATGTGTTTTACTACTGATAACCAAATTCTTAAAATTAAAAACGTTTTTTCTGACTAAAACCGTATTTTACTACTAAGAAACAAAAAATAAAAGCTCAATTTTTTGAGTAGATTGACAGTGAAATTGGAAATTTAAATAATTACTTATAATAATTTTTCAAAATATTAATTCAATTTTGAATTAAAATTCTAAATTCAAATTATGTTTTAATATATAGTAATTTTAAATCATAAATTTTTAATTGTAATTTCAAATTATAATTATTTAATTGTACTTTCAAATTATAATTTTTTAATTGTAATTTCCATACATAATTTTTTAATTGTAGTTTTAAATTATTGTTTTTTAGTTTTAATTTAATTGAAATTATAATATTCAAAAAAATAATATTTTCCAATTGAAATAAAAATTTCTAAATCCTAAATACCTTGAAATAAAATAATTACTACAGCAACCTAACTTATCATTAAATTACCAGTTTTAGAAATAATATAATAATACTGAAAAAAATTAATCTAACGCCTTATTATCTAATGAAAGGAAATAAGGAAATGAATCCATTTCTGAAAAAAAAGTCAAGGAAAATTTTTGGAAATGAAGAAACTATCCCTTCAATTCACTATTACTACAAGAAAAAAAAATATTTGGATTTGGATCTAAGGAAGTTAAAAATAAAATTTCTAAAATAACCTACACAAAAAAAAATCGAGGAAAAATCTCAGAAACAAGGAAATTGTAAATAAAATTTTGAAATAACCAGAATGCAACAAAAGGAAAATTTCATTTGGTTCGAAGAAACATTTTGGAAAAGGCAAAAAAAAAACTCCAATTTCAACAATGAGAGGAATATATTTTGGATAAAAAAAACTTCTCATAATCACTTAAAATAAATTAATGGAATATTCATGGAAATATTTTGGAAATGAACTTAGAGCAAAATTGAGAAGGAATCATTTGAAACAGGTAAATGAAAACTCTGTCAGTTTTAAGTAAAACATATTAATCATATGCAAATATAAATGGTTTTACAATGTGGTACTACCAAATGAACTTTATAATACGAGGATGAATAAAGCAAGTTGGTAATTGCCCCACCTTGCCTCAAAAACCCTTCGAGCAATCGTCACACATTTTTTTTTCTTTTTCTCTTTATAAATATATATAATATATATATTTCTTTCTCAACCCTTTCATTTTCACATTCCTTAAATACTGTCCCTTCACGCCTTTGTATGCCGAGCGATTTAATTTAAATCGCTAAAACGTCAATATTTTTTTTTTTTTCTCATTATCCATATTAAACACTATCCGAGTATTCCTATTTCCAAAAGAGCTCTGATTAAAAGCCTATCGACAGTTATTATTTATGAGACCATTCAAACAAAAGAAGAAACTGAAATCGTAGAACACCATAACGCAACAAAGACGCTGTGAAACATAATCACAATTTTATTCTACAACATAGCCATTCAATTTTTTTTTTTTATATAAAACATACACTAAATTTTCTTTCTCTCTCTCTCTCTCTCTATGAACCTTTCCCTCTTTTTCCTCTCCATTCTTCTTTCAATAAAAAACTAATTTTCTATACAATCTTCAAATTTCGGTTACACCGAAATAATTATATTGACATCACAAAGATTATCTCGACGATAATTTCAATATATAGAACAAAGAAACTATAATTAAACAATTGAATTTTCTCTCCTGCATCGAATTTTTAAAATAATTTATTATCAGGACGATTGATCGCAGGGTCTACTACCATTATAACAAAGAACCGTTTGACACTCAAGGATATCGTGAAACCATTCATTTTTTTTTTTCATCTTTACTAAAATCTAACAATAATAATTCTAAGATTGCGACGTGACATATATATATATACTATATAATATATACTTTTTTTCGAAATATAAGATAATTCATTTTTTTTTTTTAAAGATTCATCAAGAATCAAACGGTTCTTACACTGCGTGTGTGTTTTGCGAGAATTTTCGCGCTATAAATCGTTTCGCACTAAAAATGAATAATTTGTATTATTTTGCAACAGTGTGCGCGCACTTACAATTTGTATGCACACACTCAATCATAATTATACGTATGTATATGCGTTATTGATAAATAATTATAAACGTATATTCGATTAACAAACACTTCCATCCGGTGGTCATCGTTTGTTACACACACGTTTACAATCAAATATCCAAATTTTTTTTTTTTTTTTTTTTATATGATTCTTTCATGCTTACGGCAATTATAATAATAATAATAATAATTATAATAATTATAATATATTTTACATGCAAAAAGAAAAATTGTATCACAGTGGGACATCGTACATTTTTAATAATATAATATTGTTTCAATAACTTTTGCTTTTTTTTCTCTCTCTCTTTCGTACTTCACGAATCTCCCCTTTCTGACTTCTCGTATCTAACCATCATTTTTTTTTTTTTTTCGAGCTTTTTTTCCCTTTATGGCTCATTTATTGCCTTGCAGCAAACGCAATTCATTCATTCAAATGTTAAAATCGATCACACTAACATTCACGATTGTTTAAATATTAAATTGAGAATTTTGCCATTAACGCTTTTTCTATTTATCTTTTTCATTTAAAAGTCACAACTTTTATTTTCAAAAAAAGATAATATTATGCGATTTGCCTTTCGTCTTTTTTTTTTTTTAATTTTATCCACTTTATACTCCCATATATTGTGTCCATGAAATTTCAATTGTTAAATATCAAGATAAAATTGATTTTTCGACATAGACAAACTATAATAGGAGTTGAATGTAAAAGTTTTTTTTTTTTTTTTAAGCGTTTGATCGCCATCTCCCATACTCGAGAACGACCACGTCCTGCTATTTACAAATATCAATTAATCACTTGGACGTAATTCTAATAAAAATAAAATCACATGATATTGTACTCCTTTCAACAGGATCACTTGAATATCACAAAGACTAAAGTTTCCAATTTCCTTCAGTCCAATATAAAAAAAAAAAACCTAACTCTTTCTCATTAAAAATATTCCAGCCACAGGAATAATTACAATTCCCAAATAAAGGCCTTTTTTTAATCTCGAAATAATCAAAATTATACAAAAACAATTCAAATTTATAAAATTTGATAAACAATCCAAATCTGATTGCACTGGTAAAAAATAATCGAGACAAAAAAAAGAAATATATTCCTGTGACCGTGGAGTAAAATTTAAATTTCTAACTTGTTTGTAAAAAAAAAAAAATCTGTTAAAATAAATTATAAGTTAATTGTCCGCGCGAAGAGGTCTTTTAAGTACGTGGCCACACCCGAGTGGAAGATTTGATAGTAAAATTATAATATAATGATCATTTCTCCCCCCCCCTCCCCCACGTAAATCAATCATTCTCCTTGCTGCAAGGCTCGAATTCTTTCCCTCCTCGAATTCCTCGAGTCTCTTGGTCTCGTCTCGTTTTAATGTTAAAGGATACACCGCGTTAAAAATACCCAGTGGATTTATTAAATTTAAAAAAATAAATTATATTCAATTTTGACATCAGATACAAATTAACAATAAAGGATTTTTTTTTTTTTTACTTCTTAATCCACCTGGGCAAATTAACGCAGATACCTTAAATCGATTATAAGGATATCTTTATCTTACTTATTACTTTTATCATCACCATGACCCGCCCTGCATTAATTAAAAAACGTCTTTCTCTCAACGCCTCTTGCACGCTGATTACGTCTCTCTTTCGCGTTCTTTTCTTGTACAAAAGCTAAGGCAACGTTTTTATTTATTATTTTTTAATTTCTTTTTTTTTTTTTTTTAATTCCATTACATCACCCACAGCTCGAGGTGTGTACGTTACTGATCTCTTCATCGTGTCCTTTATCACAAGGACGATTTTTTTTTTTTTTTTTTTTTGCTAAAATAATAATAGTTTTACGATAGATAATTTTTTTTCATTCGTATTTACAAATCGATAAAATACACGACAAACGAATCGAAGTACTAATTTTTTTTGTTGTTTCTTTTTTTTCTACTTTCACAAATTTTTATCGAATATCGAGATTTAAGTCTTATGATGATGATGATGATCATCAATTCGATTGTCGTGTATTTTTTTAAAAAATAAAAAATCTATAAGATGCCATCGAATATGGGCGCAATTACACATTGAAAATTCGATTCTCTTCGTTCAAATACACGTTGCGTGCCAAAATGATAGTTGCCTTTACGGTTTACCGACACCAATTAGCAGCCTGATTATTGCTTAGTTACTTATTGTAATTCGCCTATAGCCAGTTATGGTTATTCATGATATTCACAGTCATATGCATGTTAGGAGGTCGAAGCAACTCCACTTTAAGAAATAAAAGAAAAAAAAAATATTTCAAAGATTAAAAAAATGATAAGTGACGCTGATTTTCGAATTAAAAAATAAAATTAATATTTCTATCATAAAACTGAAGATTAAAAAAAAAAATAGTAAAATAAAATTTCTCTAATTTAAAAAGTTTAAAAACTCTGTCCCGTTTATGTTGAAAAAACATAAAATCTTTAAATCATTTTTAATCAATTAAAAGATTAAAAATAATTTAATCTTTAAAAATCACTTTTCTAAACAAAATTTTATAATTTTGATCGAATATAAAAAGAATAAATTTAAAATAAAAACCAATTTAATCTTCAGTTTCACTTTAATTTTCAATAATGAAAAATCAGAAAATTTAGTTTCAAAGCTAATGTAAAGATGTAATGTACTATAAATCAAAAATACTATTATCATAGTACTGCAATAAAAAACAATACTATCAAAATAATACCATTGAAAAAGTACTATAAGAATAATGTAAATGTAGGTAAATATATATAATCAAAAAAAGTTATTTGAAATATAACAATTCAAATATAAAATATTTTTCATAAGTAACATTCGTGCAATATTTTTCCCATTTATATAAAGAGTGAAAAATATTGCACAAATTCTTATGCATATATAATAAATAATAACTAAAATGTTGCTTCGAAAATAAGTAAACTATATATATTTATATGTTTATATATTTTTTATGTATTATATATTTATATGCATATATAGACTTTTGTTTTCTTTCATGATTTTTTTTTTATGTTGCATATATAGCTATTTATTGTATGCATCAACTAACACGATTCATATTTTTTTTTTTTTTTGTTTTTGTTTTGTTTTAATGAAACAGCGAAGTGACTACTGACTACTTGAGAATTAGGCTGAGCTTCGACAACCAACGTGTGATTTCTATTTTCGAATATTTTAACTAATGAAGAAGTTTATATTATATACAACATCAGATGAAAAATGAATAATCGCGTTCTATGAGATCGATCATATTTTGAAACTGTGAAAAGAATTCATTTTGTGAATTCATAACTCAGCAAAATATGCTTAAAATTCATTTATTACTTTTTTCCCGTGTCACATCTAAAGCGAATGTATAAAAATCGTTTTTTTTTCAATCTATACAGAATTTCACAATTACAATTCTCAGAAATATAAAAATCAGTGATTTTCGTGAAAAAGTGTTTTCCTTTCAAATAAAAAGAATTTTAGAATTTTGTGATTGTGTATTTTGTACAATTTCAATAGGTCACTGATTTTAGCGCAATTGTATTAATTTTTCACTGTCTAAAAAATAAAACCTAAAAAAAAAAATTTGTTCCTTTTTTGTAAAACTCATCTATTGGCAATAAAATCAAAAAAAAAAAATTTTGTTTCAAATTTATATTTAAAACGTAAAACCGAATTCATTTAATCGATTCATTTAATAAAAATTCATATTTATATTTCATTCAGATATTATTACTGTAAAAATTGCAATTCAAATTATGCAATTTTTTATTTTATAGAAATTTTGAGAATTGTCAAAAAGCGAAATTTAAAATCTGCAAAATTCGTTTTTTTTGCAGCGTTTCAAAGCGATATTAAAAAAGAATTTCAATTTATTATGTAATAAAATATTTTCTTTCAATTCACGAACATTGCCTTCCTGATACCTTTTTTTTCTCCCTATATGATAAACAATTTTAATAGCACGTTTATTATCTCTCTTTCGATTTCCTTTTTTTTTTTAAATATAATTTCCAAATTGCCAACGTTAAAAAAGTCTTTCAACTGTTTGACATTATGAAAAGGGTAGAGAATATTTCCCGACTCTATAAACTTGTCCGTAAAAATGTTGCTATCATATCGAGTAAGATACAATAAACCAATATGGAGTTCTCTAATATTTACCAACCGTTTTGTAAATACAAGATTTTTTTTTTTTCGAGATCGTTACTCCAAAAGAGTAAACAACACACGGTGGACAATTACACGTTGAATATCGATAACATTATTCTCATAAAAAGTCACATTTTTTAATATAAAAAATGTTCCTCGCAGACCCTTTCATTCACAGTTGATACAATGAGTCTTTGTGTTGATTGGGAATATGTAAATTACAAATATCAGCAATAGTGTGAAATTCAATGTCAATTGAAAATTAACAAATTTCAAAATTAACTAATTTCACAAATTAATTAATTATTAAATTATTATTAATTTAATAAAACTATTAAATAGGATAATTAAATTAATTTCTGAAAAATTGTGATCTTTCAATTGACTTGAAATCACGAATGTTTACTCTATTATTATTCACCAGCGAGCAACAAAATTGACTCGATATCTGCACGAAAAAGCATTTAATAGTGTACGTCTTCAAGTTAATCTATAACTAGTAGCACAGAAAGCGTCTGCAAAAGTTGGACGATTGCTTTGAATTATAGTCATTTTTAAAAAATTGATCAGATATTATGATATACATATGCCCATAAATATTTGTTCCTCATATGAGAAAAAAATTACCACACGAAGCCGGCTTCGTGTATGTATTTTCTCCTCAAATAGAGGAACACCATTCATATTCTTTTTTTTTTTTTTTTTCATTTTCATAATTATTCCTGCAAAATCTTTCTGTCTTCGAACTTGCGAGTTTCGCAAATTTAAAAGAGTCTAGGCATGGCCCCGCCTCACCTTAAACACGCCATTATTGGTATTTTCTTTTTTTTTTTTTTTATTAAAAAACCGGCAACGACTCAAAAACTGCAGAGAAAAAAAAACAAAGACACACACAATCCTTCGCCCAACGACAGATCCGTTAATCACAGATAATTATTTCAAAATCCTCTTTTTGTGGACGAGGCGACACACGTACCGTCTGGCACGAAAGTTTACTTAAAATCTACGTATAAAAAATCTGTTTTCTCCCCTTTTTCTCCGTCGCGAATCATCAAAAAAATTCGTTGTACTAATTTAAGGGAAACGTTCAAAAATGATGTTCAAATTCGACGGAAATGGAGATTGTTTTTTTTTTTTTTCAACAATTAATCAAATTGTTTCCCTCTTGGCGTTATAAGAATTATCGAGTCGAATTATTGACTCGACAAAAAAGTGAATATTCACTTTAAACGTGAATATTCAAAAGTTGGTCCTGACGAAATATTTTCACGATTGTATTGTAAATATTTATATAGAGCCGCTAACAATATTTTAATAGTGTTTAAACAACTATAATTATTCATCATCTTTTTAAATTGATATTGAAAAACACTACCTTGTGTTGTGTAGTTCCTTGAAAAAAGTGTTCCGAGTAGCGGCGAAAAATTGGTGTTCCAGAAGAAGAAAGTCCTTAATGTGGAAACTCCTTAACTGGTATTTCCAAAACTTGAAGAATCTTTGGATTCATTAACAAAGCCAATGACCAAATAACGATCTCTTTGCTTTCTTTTTCTTTTTTTTGTTGAAAAGAAAAAAATCTTTACGCATGCGGCACAAAGTGTTGATTTTCGAGTGCCAATGGATATTGATTTTGATTCTGTTCATGCATTTGTACTTGAAGCTGCATATGTTGAGCTTGCAGGTGTGTTAATGCGCTGGCGGATGCAAACGCTGGAAACGCCAGAGTCGTTGTGAGACTCTCATTGTGTTCCTCTAAAGAATTCTGCGCATAGTGCAGAACAAGATGCTTTAATGTTTGATGTATATTGTAAGGTTCCGCAAATCCATAACCCCTTTCCGTTCCATAAATTATGCAATGATTCACGGTACCGTTGCACCTGAGAACACGCATTTTATGTCAAACATTTTTTTTTACCCTTTTTTTTTTAATGACAATTTATTTGACAAATGTTTTAAATCAAATGTTTCATGTTTCATTGTGCAAAATTAATTTTAATTATTTACTTTATTAGTATTTAAATTAATCCCAATTGTTTGTTTGGTTCTTTAATTTAGAAAAACATTTTGATTTTTAATTCTTAATAAAAAATTATTTACTTTCCTTTATTAAATATTAAATTATCAAATTGTTATTTAAGTTTTATTATTTTTTTTTAAATATGTGTCTGATTGCAATAAAACTATTGCAGTTGTATTATTTTAAACAAATATTAAACTTGTGGAAGAACTGACTCAATTCTTCAAGTAGTAATAATAATAATTCTAAACGAAATATAATAATTTTTGTCATGCAATCGTATAAAATATAGATAAATATTTTTACTTACATTATAGATAAAGCATACTGTCCAATTCTCGATCTTCGAACTAAGAAAGTGCCATCGGGTCTTCCCATAAGTATTTGATCCGCATTCGAACGTGAACAATCAAGATACAACCATGCTTTCTCATCAGAATGAATTTCGAGATCAGGTTCTTGTAATTCATTGTAAATTATTTCGCCAATTGTTTGATTTGACGTTGAACTACTCATAATTAACTGATGAATTTTATTTGAATGCATTCCATTTTTCTTTAACCACCTGTAAAAAAAAAATTTAATTATAATCCGTAAAAAATTAAATTTGAAAAAAATTCCGTTTAACAGTAAATGATTTTTCTGTTGAATTGTCACAATTTTTTTTTTTTTTTAAATAAAATACATACGCTGCATATTTGTCTTTCGATTTTGTATATTGCATATACTCGGGCTTTAATTTTTGCATCTCACGCTCAAGAGTTCTGTTGTAGGCAATTTGCTGCTTCAAGCTATCATCAAGTTGTTCTCTACTATCTTCCAAGGACTTCAGACGACGTTTTAACAACTCAGCATTATCTGTCAAGCTAAAATAAACAAATGAATAAAATCATTCAGTAAAACATCTCAAAGAACGAGACAATATTTAATAATAAAAAAAAAAAATCACGAAGAAATCAGTTTTGAATAATATCAACTTACGTGGATATTTCATGTGGTTGAGCTTCAGTTTGAAACTTTTCTTGCAACTTCATCTGATCCTCGAACATTTTAATGGCTTCAGAAAATGCTTCTAAGGCTTGGCGTTTAAGTTGCACTTCATAAGCCGTTCTATTATAGAGGTCATAGCAATCTTTATGCTGTCGTAAAGTTTCGTTTAAATTCTTAAGGATTTCGATGAACTTCTGAACGACTTTCGACATATCAGTATTGCTTGCAATTTCGTCTTCCTGAAAAAAAAAATTACAAATACTTTTCAATAAAATATTCAAAATTCAATTAATTGAAATTGAAAAAGAATTTAATATCTATAAAAAGAAAAAAGAGATCTTTATCTTTAAAAAAAAAAAATGACTCACCTGTTGAAAACGTGAAATCGGATATAAAAGTTTAATATCTAATGTCGAATTATATTGTGCGAGAGAACAATTTCGATAATAATCCACAAGTTCAATGACAGATTGAAAATTGTAAGGTTCCGAGAAACCATATTTGCCATTACGATGACAAATCTTAATCAATTTATTTGTTCCACCTTTCCTCAATGTCAATGTATATTCACCGCCTTTTGATGATGCATTTCGAACCAAAAAAGTACCATCGGGTGTATCAACCATTTTTTCATTGACTTCGTCTCTTGTAATATCACCCCAATACCATTCGGCTTCTTGAAGTGTTCGTGGCCTGAGAAAAAATAAATAAATTTTTTTTTTTTTTTCATTTCACCAATTAATATTAACATTCTTTTACTTTCAATGACATACATTTCGTCGTAATTTAAAATAATCTACATATTATTTTTACCTGCATGACTGTTGTAACTGGTCTTTGTTACTTTCACCCGGCGTTGAACGATCACCACCAGCTACCAATTCTTCCTCTAAACCAGGAAATGACTCTAGAACCGGAATTGGTGGTCTAGACACTTTCCTTGGTGGTAATTGTGGAGGGCTCGCAAATTCTGGCAGCTTCTCATTCCAATTTCCATGAAGTAATAATAGCTCCATTATACGAATATGAGCTTCGGTATTATGAACAACTTGACTGTAAAAGAAAAATTTGCAAGAAAATTAAACAAATTTTATTCGTTTAAAATAATTATCAAATTTTTGACAAAAGATAACTTGATTAAAAAATTATGTAAACGTATTTTTTTTTAAATCTTATAAACTTTTTGATAGAGAATATATCAGGTGAACCACCTTGAGTAATAAATTAATTACTATTTAAAGATCTACTTACATGATCCGCTCCCAAGGAGGCCTGAGAAAAATGTGGCACATAACTTGCACAAGAATAGTGGGTGGTTCTGTATAACCTCGAGAATGTTGCAATTGACAAATTCGACAAAAATGAGCCATCAAATGCGTCAAAGTTCCTTTATGATGCACTGGTAATTCCGAGACCAATTTATTAAGATGCGTGGCACATTGTTCATCATTTCTTGAATCTGCAATTGAAAAATAATAAAGAATTTAACAATGTAGATAAATTACATAAATTTTTTTATGTTAATTTGCAACTTACTAATAGCTTCCAAAAATCTATCGTACCACTGTACGGGAATTATAGGATCTGGTAACTCTCTCAAAAATTTCTTTAAAACACTTGATATACATTGCGCGGTGTAAGGAGTTAAATCAGCGTTACATACATCTGTGAAAGAAAAAAAAACATTTACACATAAAGCGAAATAGATTAATTGATAAATAATAAAATAAAATAAAGAAAAATTTGTGAAAATAATTGAATTGAAAAATTAAATCAATCGTAAATTGAAAAAAAAGACAAAAAACAATTATAATCTAAATATGGAGAAATTAATCTAAATTTTGTAAATTGTAAAAGGACAAAAGCAATTACCCTCGTTAAGCTTTTCTCGTAATTCAAGTATCTGTTCATTGGGCGGACTACTATAGTATATTTTATAAAGGTCTAAAGTTGTGTCGGTGAATGCTCTTTCTTCAAGGACACGTGTGCATCTTTCGACTAAAATTGGAGCTGTACGAGTTGCTGAGTCGAACTGCGAGCATAGTGCTAATCCAAAGACTGTAAAACAACAATATTATAAATAAATTAAACAAAAGGATAATTTTTACAAAAATTATGATAAATGCAATTTCAATTTAATTGCAATTCTCATAAAAAAATCCAATCATTCCAAAATATACTTCTATAAATACAATCTATTTACAATAAAAAAAAATTTTGCTTTTCTTTTTAAAAACCTAATCAAAAAGAATCACAAACTTTCTTAAAAAATAGAACAAATTTTTTTCTTACTAAAAATTTTAGATTTTCAAAAATTAATATTTTTAACAGTATAAAATAGTAAAAAATTACAGTACAGATATTTAAAAAATTTTCAATAATTTTCAAGTACCTGAAGTGAATCTATGAACACGAGAATCTGTTGGAATGCAAGGAGAGGGTAAACCAGTCACTGAACAAGTCCTGTGAGCGACTAATCCACAATCTAGAAAGAGTAAAGACAATGCATAATTAACTAAGCGAAACACGAGCAAAAAAAAAAAATGCTTTTTTTATGTTTACTTCACTCTCGTGAATATTTGTTTTTAATTTAAAATACATATACAAAAAATTCTGTCTTGTATAAAACTTTGAGCTACTGCAAAAAAAGAAAATTAAATTAAATTTTTAATTGAATTTACCTTCACTTTTGACTTGAAAAAATAAAAAATAAATTTTTTAATTAACAGACTTGTCGAGTATATAAAGTGCACCAAAAATCTAAAAAATATAAAATATTTAAGGGCAGAGAGAGCGAGAACTAAAATTACATACTAAAAATGGCAAATGTCTTTTAAAATATAAATATTAGTTTCTTTTTGCGCATATATACCTTTTTTTGACATTTGAATCAAATAATAAGGTACAGTAATATAAATTTTATACTTTCTCACAACTTACAACAAGTGGAAATTACACTCTTTTTTCACTTAACTCAACCAACCAAGAGAACTGTTTTATTATCGCGCATAAAAAAAAGGAGTATGTTGTAAATCCTACATAAGCTATAAAATCTTTATTCGAAATAAATTAATCATTTATGGGTTTACATTCCACCGTAAGTTTTTTTCAAATACTTTAAAATGATAATTGTCTAATTTTATTCTCCCATTTCAAAAAAAAAAAAAAAAAATTGCAATGCGTAAAATAATCGATTTTAACCATTTTGAATATCAAATAACAAATGAAAACATTGCTCTATTTTTGTAAATTAAAAACAAATGGAGGCGAAAAAAATTAAAAATTAATAAATACATTTTTTTCTGCAACTTATGTCAGAATCTATAAAGAATAATTTCCTACATTTTCTTTCTCTTACTCTCTTATAGAAAATATTATGTTACATCAAGGTTAACCGCTACATTACGAATTAAAAGCAGATTCAAAGAGAGAGAGAGAGAGAGACCCGGTTGTGTCGTAAAAGAATCATGGTATGCATTCGTTCATATAATGAACCGCATGAGGATCGTTTGATCTTATAATGTTAAAATGTCATCAAGAGATTCGTTTAAAGTCATGCATTGGCTCGTAAGATTAGCATTAATTTGAGCGTGCGCCTGTTACACGATACGCACTTATACTCGCGACTGTCATGTAACTTCATCTACAGAGTTTTACATGCACAGCTTCGTGCATTTGCTATGCGAGCCTCGAAATGTTTCGCAACCGGAAGCCATAAAGTCGACTGTTGTCGCTTGTTAGCGGCGCCTCAACCATTTAACACCACAATACTCATCTGCAGTCGTTTCTCTATATCTGCATTAATTATTAGAAAAGTCAGCTAATTTTCACGAGTAGTATAATCATTATTAATATCTTGTGTAAAACAAATAAATTCCATCAAACATTTTAATAAAACAACCAGTAGAATAAATAAAATCATTACAAGAGAAGCCACACACAAAATTTCAAACTATTTTTTTTTTTCGCGAACTTTGAACTTTTCATTTAATTTACCGGCTCGAAGGTTAAAAAAAAAAAAAAGAATTTTTTCATATTTGTATCTTTCCATATTTAATTCTCTTAATATCGATTCTAAATCCTTCATTTGTTGTAATTCTATTTAAAATTTTATTACCTTATTTCAATTTTATTTCCCATAATTTATTCATTTGTAGATATGAAGAAATTTTAGAATTGTAAAATAAGTTTTCTTTTTCTAAAAGGAAAATTGTCAGAAATTATTTGAACATTACGTTAGTTGTGATAAAACTGTGGCGTCTAGTGCCAATGACAATTCACTTGAGCAGTTTGTCTAATAGTCTGGAAACCTGTTCGTTTTGCAAACCTTTATGCATATAACGAGTGTTAAACATACTTAAAGAGTTAAGAATAATCACAGTTAAGTGAATATAATTTAAAGAAAAACTAAAATCACAATATATTTCACATTTGATTTATAATCACTTATTATTATTGAAACATTCTCACACAGTGGCATGAAAAATTTGCAATAAAATTTATATATCTTTAATAACATTAGCTTGCTCAATTTTAATCCTGATTTTAATAAAATAATTTTAGTAATATAAATTCAAAAAAAATAATTTTCATTAAAACTAGACAATATAAAAAAAAAGTTAGTTATTTAAATAAATAATAACTTAAATAATGATATTCAAAATGGTTTTCTGCATGCAAAGCAATTTATGTCTAATATTGCGGAAAACATTATTTAAACGTGACCTTCTTTAAACGCAATGCACACACCCAAAGTGTTTCTTTAATCCTATCATTAAGAGCAATAGATAATTAGTATGTCTACATTATATCGCACGGTAATTTTAAATAAAAAAAAATATCTAGTTATTTATAAATTACAAAGTTACATTTATTCATGACACAAAACTCATTAGCCATGAGGCGTTAAACACCTAAAGTTCTAAATCTTTGAGCAACCAATCACTTCACATATACATGATTATCTAATTTTTCGACATGATTGATTTACAAAAAATAAAAAGAGATAATCTTTAAGAAAAAAAAAAAAAAAATAGAAATTTTAAAGATGAAATTTTTCTTTAAAAATCAGGTCAATAGACTTTACAAGTCACTTGCCTCGGAAACATTTTATTTTCAAGATATCTTCCAGTTCAATCTAGTGGAAACAATATTTAAAAATGTTCTCAATAGGTATACACAATATTTGAACTTTTACCGTAATTTGAAAGAATTAAAAAGGAAAATTTTGCATTTACAAAAAAAATCTTTTTAAAATTTGTTTTTAGATAATCCTTTCGATTTTAATCAAAATTTAAATCAAGATAATTAACAATAAATTTTCTTTCTCGCGATGTTTTTGAAGAAGATTAAAGAGAGTTTCAGTTTCAAAGTTTTGATAGCTATTAAGAAGTCATATTAATCATTCACTAAGGGATGGTTTTCCTCAAAAGCAATTAATTTCTGTAAATTTTCATCTCATAAATTAATGTCATAAACTGTATGAATTAATTCATAATCTAATAATGAAAATTTATTTTTGTAAAAGGCCAATTTTTTTTTAAAAAATTGATATTGTCAAAATTGTTAATTAATTTATATTTTGTAAATTACTCATTAATCTATCAAAGCCTGTATATAATTTATATTTACAAGAGGGGTGAAATTGTATAAGAAGTTGAACAAGCGTAAAATTGTGAACGCGACTCAATCAACTATCAATTAGTCAAGTATATGCGATCAAAGTATACTATAAACAAGAGTGGATATCATCGAGAGTGGTGAATATTAAAAATCAAAAGGAGAATATAATAAAATGAAAAGTAAAAACCTACCTTGGCAGAGAAAGCCTTGATGTAATAGGCCCCTGAGGTATTTGTGGCATTTTTCGCACCTCTCCAAGACACTGAAACTATGAGGCACGAGATTGTGAGCGTTGCTGGTGGTGCTGGTGGTTGACGTAGTATTGACATTGCTACTACTATTGCCAGTGCCTCCCGTTTCGTTGACGGATAATGTCACGTACGAAGTCTCCGAACCAGCAAGAGTCGAAGGAGACGAGGGTTGGCAGAGTTCCTCGATGCATACCAATATATTCTTCTGATGGAACTCATCTTTTATACCCATGTTCTAAAAAATCAAAAACAATATCATTGAAAATTATCTCAATTTTAAATTATCAACTAGAAATATTATTTAAAACTTATTTATGTAGTTCTTTTCAATTCAGTATAAATTTATTATTTAATTCAAAAAAATTCAATTTAACGAAATTTAATTTAATGAAAACTTAATAAAAGTTCCATTAAATATAAATTCCCTCAAAGGAAAATTTACTAAACTAACGTAGTCATAAAAAAAAAATTCATCATAAAAAAGAATACATTTCAACCGACTGAAATAATCTTTTCAAAGAACAATATAAATATTCAAAATGTCATTATTCAAAGAACCTTTGATAAAGTCGTTGAAAAAAAAGAAAGAACCAAAAATAAATAGGATTAACAAAAGAAAAGTCGTGCTCACCATTAGCTTCTCGCGGTCCAAATGCAGTAGATCGCTACCCTTAATGTCCTTGGACTTGAAAACGTCTGCATAGCGATAAAGGTTGAGAGCAGACATCCATTCAACAACATTTAAAGATGTCCACTCACTGACAGGCTGAAAATAGAAAAGTCGATGTTATTAATCTTCTTCACAATATACTATTATTATATAGAGAAAAAAGCACTATAAAGTGAAATAAATTTTTCAAACTAAAAATGAAAGAACAGACCGGATATATCAACACATTTTAAACCAAATAACGCACCTCAGAAAAGCAGTAAATCAATACCATAGAATATTGAGCAAAATTAAATACAAAACTGATATAAATTGTAAATAAGAGTCAAGAACTGATTGAAATTTTAAAATCTCACTCAAAATCCCATTTATAAAGAGCCCAAATAAGGCTACATTTTCAATCTCAATCAAGTTTTTATTTAAAAATTATTAATCATTGATACCTGTTTAAATGCACGTAATTCTAATTATATATTTAATTCATACTTGTAATTTAATTTAATTAATTGTAATTTAATTCCTATATAACCGTAATTTTTAAATAAGAAAAAAAATTGCAATCGAAGCAATTTTTAATTCAAATGAAAAAAAAATAGATAATATTCCAATTAATTATATCTAACTTCAATTTTACTTTCGTCAGTTTTGACGTAAGTAACTTTAACTCAATATATAATCTAAAAATGATAAGATTAATTTTTAATGAAAATAATTCAAATCATTTAATGAGATTTGCCATTTTCTTGAGATTCAAACTATAAAATTTTATAATCTTAATTTTTTTTCGAAAATATATTAGATATTTTAATATCTCAAGAAAATGTATTTTTTTTTCCTTTTCTGAATTAAAAAAAATAAATAAATAAAACTCCGATTGAGTAATTAATTCCCGATTATGTCAGAGACCAATCAATTATAAGCGATTTTTACTTCATAATTAGTGATTAAATTTTAAACGAAAAATTGATGAAATCAGTACATTTAGCGTATTAACTTTTTGTTAAGACTGTCTTACCACAACTTCCTTTAAACACTAACTTGCAATATAAGTATGTATAATAGAGAGGAAATAAAATTCCTTTTAAAGTGAAAGAACTACTCATAATCAAACATAAATAATGATAATTAAGTAACCTTTTAGTATGGTATATTAAGTATAGAGAGACATTAAAAAAATCAAAGTAAAATTCTTTGTGGACACCTGCCACGTTATCATTCATTCAACATCTCTCCACTTGTTTAACAGAACATTAACCGCTTTAATAAGCTGTAAATTAACGAAGCTTTATCACTATTTGTTAAATGTTAATAAACTCTTTTACAACTTTAATTGGTTACTACTGTGAAGATTATTTATTAATAACTTATTAAAAAATAAATAAATAAAATTTAATTAAATTTTTCAAAATTAAATAAATAATTATTTATAGTAAAAATATAATTATTTCGTTCAATAATATTCTACATAGAAAAAAAATTAAGGAAATGCAAAAATTTCCTTTGTTTTAGAAATATTGAGAAAAAAATTTTTCTCCGCCTCGAAATTCAAAATGTTTAAAGGTTTCGTTTAAAATAGAAATCGTTGTCTATTAGATATTTGAAAATGAAGAGGTTACGAGCCACTAAAATTGGTCTTTAACTGGTAAGCATTTCTGAGGTGGAAGAAGAACAAGAGGATGTGATGCCAAACTAAAAAGTAAAGATAAAGCATGCAACGAATTAGAGAAAGTGGGAGGAGGAACGAAAAGTTATAGGCAATTAGTGCTATTTTAAAGTGGCAATTCGGAACCCCGAGTGTTGAACTCCGGCAAGTATCAGCTGTAAATATTTCAAATGTCTTATGCTTTCAACCAATATAATATTCAAATTCCTAGTTAAAAAATAAATTGGTCCAGAAGTATTTTCTCTTTGTTTTTTTTTTTTTTTTTTTTTTTGTGAAAATAAAAATAGAATACATATTTTTTCCCTCACTCATTGTATTATTAAAAGAAAAACTGACTAAATGAAAAAACAAAAAAAAAAAGAAATACCTACATTGCAAAAAATTATTTGTCAAGCATTTAATTTGAAATTTTTTCTTATTCTAATTATATATTTAATTAATATTAATTTAATCAAAGTAAATTTTTTGAATTTTTCCTGAATCTCTCTTAACCAGATTTGATTAGAAAAAAATTCATTTCAATAACTATTTACTTAATTCAAATAAATATTTATTAGATAAGTTAAGTAATTCAATGATTCATTGTCAAACAATTTTTTTTTTTTTCAAATAAAAATACTTGTAAAAAGAAAAAAAACAAAATAAACAGAATCATTTTCGTCAAATAATAATTTATTTGAGTATCATACCTAATAAATACTTATTTGATCCAAGTAAATATTGCTCAAATAAAATAATATTATCTTAAATCATCATTCATTAGAGATTCGATTCAAGAAAAATTTATTTGATTTAAAAAAATATTTATACATCGATTAAATTATTATTAATAAAATAAATAATTTTATCAGACATTTTATTGTCAATATTTTATAAGCAATAATAAAAAATTGTGTCAATTAAATAGAAATATATAAAAAAAAATATATATATAAAACAATATTAAGTGCACTTTTCCAATGTACATAGTTAAAATAAAAATACCATTTAAACTGAAAGATAAGGTAAACATAAAAAAAAAACTAATAATAATAATAATTTACTGTACAATATTAGAAAAATCGTTAAAAAGTATATATATATAGAAATCGAGATATGAGTAATAAAAATGCAAATAATAGTCAAATGACTATATATTCAAAGTAGTTCTGGCTCTGAAACGATTTTAGAAACTAATCCAAGAGGAACGAATGCAGCTCATGTCTCAAGTGACACATGACAGATTAGATATTATGGCCGGGTGTTAAGCAATATGCAAAAGGTCGACAATTTATTAATAAGAAAAAAAATAATAATAATAATGAAAAGCAAAAAAAAAAAAATTGCACAAAGTTATTTTAATTTTCATATAGCAGAAAAAAATAACAATTGTAAAGAAAAAAAAAAACAAAAGATTGGTTCTCAGAGGCTTTCACGAACATTCGTTAGAGTAATTGCGCTTGTTCGTTTATACCGACAGCCATTATCGGTTGGTATAATATCGTCGTTTAGGTTAGACTTCGCTAATATAAGAAGATAACATAATATAGCTCACTTGCCTCACTTTAACAAATATACAATGAACGTGCAGTTATACGAGTGAAATTTATGACTTATAAAAAAAAAAAAAAAAAAAAAAAAAAACTTTTTCACATCTGTACAATCATTTGTTCAGTTAAGATATGAAATGAAAAAAAAAATTAAAGATTGCAAATTTAAACGATTGACAAAAATGAAGATAAAAAAATGATAAAGGGAAAATTATCTCCATTACAAAAAAAAAGGAGACAAAAAATGTCTTTTCTTTTTTTTTTATTAATATATATTTGTCGTGAATAAAATTAAAAAAAAAAAATAATAATAATTGAAACGCATTAATAGAATGTAGAAATGCGAAAGGTGTGTATATATTCATTAAATTGTAAATGAATTCAAAGCAATCGTTCAACATATACACGGTATTGCCATATCAATCGGAGACAACATGAGATTGTCGATTAAAATTGATCGACATGTGAAAAATGATTTATTTTAAAATATTCTGCGAGATTATTAATTTGTCAGGCGTAAAAAAAAAGTATATAAATCCTCAACGGGCAATCAAGTATTGAAGATATCGGTGTACGATAATTCACAAATTAACAAAAAAAAGAAAAGAAAAAGAAAAAACGAAAAAAAAGTAGAAACAATTTAATGATCAAAAGTTCATAGGTGAAATGTTAATGAATAATCGTATCTCAGGATTATCGACTACGTCAGTTAAAATGAAGTTTCTTTTCTTTTTTTTATATATATATATTTCAAAGAAGCGAACCGTGGATTATCTATTACTCTCAATTTGCTTTCCAAGGACTATTGCCATTTTACAGTCATGAGCAATTGGCAAACTTTTCAATAGCTCTAGTGAATAGCTCCATTCACTTGATAACTAGTTAATACTGTTAGTTAATTGATAATAAGACCTATTTAAGGCATCAATTTACAACTGAACAAAAAATCAAAGCAAAATATTGTCTCATGAAAAAAATAATATTTTAGCTGTTAAATATAATTATATTCAATTAAATAATACATTGGTAATTTCAATTAGTAGAGAAAATATTCAATTTTTAATTAATAAAAAAATGATTTAATGAAAATAATTTATAATTATATTATGAGATCATAAATTACTGGTTTAAATTATTAATATTAATTTATTATCAATTAAACAGATTGAGATTTAATAGAAATAATAAAAAAGAAATTTCAGGACATTTTTAAGATCAAAATTGTTATACTAATGCGATATTTTCTCAAACAACTAACGCTGTAATTACAAAAGGTACCTCACTGAAATTCAGAGAATCGATTAACTAGACAAAAAAAAAAAAATTTAATCTACTCTTTGTGTATACAAGTTGTAATTTGAATAAAAATTTATTTCACAAGAAAAATAAATATGAAAGATATTAAAATCTAATTTACCAATCTTTCATAGTCATAATTTTACACAAAATAATTTTTTTAATCTATTAAAAAAAAATATAACTCTGATCCTTTGTCTAGATTTACGATTTCTTGAATTTTAATGAGACATCTTTTCTACTTATTATAAGACGTAAGTTACTGAAATAAATTTCTTTAATATAACAATATTAATAATTGAAAATAAATAAAAATGACATCCAAAATAACTATAATAATTCTCTAAATTTGAATTTAAAAATAATCAATTTAACATTAAAAATTCAGCCTATGATCATCATTCATTAGAGATTTGATTCAAGAAAAATTTATTTGATTTTAAAAAAATATTTATATATCGATTAAATTATTATTATTTAAATAATTTTATCAGACACTTTATTGTAAATATTTTATTATTATTATTTCTGTATTTAAAATAAATACCATTTAATTGACTGAATAAATAATTATTTGGTTCAAGTAAATATTTATTTGATAATAGTCAAATAACCGATTATTTAAATCAAATAAATTTTTTTTCCAGTGTGATAATAGTATTAAAAAAACTGATAATTTTTCTAGTAATAAATAGTTAAAAATAAATATTTAATTATATTTCAATAAAATTCCGATTCAAATTTCTTTAAACACACAGAAAATTAAAAGGCATTAAAATAAGCTGCAACGCTTATTATTTTAATCCAATTTTGCTTATTTTAATACCAAAATGGATTAAAATAATAAGCGTTGTAGCTTATTTTAATACCTTATAATTTTATGTGCAGTTATAAAATTATTTTTTTTTTTTGTATTGAGCCAAAAAATATTTTTTGTATTCTTTTTCTTTTTGAATACTTTTTATTGTTTTGTTTACTATTATGAAATTCATTATGATTTCAGAATTTCATAAAAAAAAAATTATGGAAACTAAGTTTTCTAGATATATGCAATTATCTTGAAAGAATACATCGTTTTAGCGCTGGCCCTGCGTGACGATTACTATACTACTTGTAAGTAGTAGTAGCCGTAAGGGACAGACATATTGCATATGTCTCACTCGCACGGCCGTTACTACTTGCGACGTTAGTTTTCTACCACAAAAGTTGCAAAATCATTTTTAAAAAAACAAACAAAGTATTTATTTTTTTTTAAATTATAGGTGAAATGCCAAGGAAAGATTATTTTTCTCAATGTATACAAAAAACGAATTAGAAAAAAATTTTAACTAATCTTAAAATAAAGCCAAAAAGTATAACTAGAAAAATCGAAAAATATTTGAACTAAACACTGAGATTAATTTTATTTTAATTTTACTGTTTTATTCAAATAGTACTTAATTTTACTAGAAAAAAAAATATTTGTTTAATATTCGTGCAGACAAACTTTTTTCATCAGGGTGTCTACTAAAAATCTGAATTAAAATTCCAGGACTTTTTCAGGACTTTCCAGGACAAATTTCTTATTTTTCCAGGACATTAAATTGGATGACCTTAAGGAATAAAAAAATTTTTAGTTTAACTATTGTTTTCAGAAATTATTAAAAAATTAATTAATTACTTAAGTAAATTTTCATTTTACTTATTTAATGAATTTTTTTTTAAATTGATTGACAAAATTATAAATTTTTGAAAATTTAAAAGCAAAATATAAAAAATTCAAGGACAAAAATTAAAATTCCAGGACTTTCAAGGACATTCCAGGACATTTTTTCAAATTCCAGGACATTTCCAGGACTTCCAGGACTTCCAGAACTAGTAGACACCCTGTTCATTGACCCAACAAAATTTGTTTTTTTTTGCACCAAATTTTGGTTAATACAAATTTTTCTATTTTATTGCCTTAATTAAAATGTAAAAATATTTGAAATATTTAATTAACAAAAATGTTATCAACCTTACTCAAACTAACTTTTATTGTTGAGGCAATAAAAAAAAATATTCTATTGTGAAAGCCAAATATTTTTTTTTATAGAAAAAGTAAGTATTCACGCATAAAACAATGCAATTAACTATTCATTTTATTTATTAACTATATTATTTTCCACACTTATTATACTTTATCCGATAATTATTTATTTCATTTTTAAATGCGCTAATTTACAAAATCATAAATAATTTTCTGTTTTTCTATTAAACAATATAATAAATAGTTTATGTAAATGAAACAATAATATTCTTTTTCAAAATTGACATTTATGAAAATGGAGAAAAAAAAAATTGGAAAAATAAACTTCTTTCAAAGTAAACTGAAAACCACTATTTATATATATATATATATATATATATATAGTAAAACTCAAATATATTCTTTGAATATAACGCATGTAAATTATTGTCCACGAGCTTTGGCGATAAAATCTACTCAAGGGTAAATTTAGAATAAATTATTAAAATGTGCGCGAGAATTCCTATTTCCTATAATGCATTTTAAAACATAAAACATTAACAATGCATTGATCTTCCGGTTTTCCATTGGGTTGTTCGACCTTCAATTTTTTTTTTTTTCTTTTGTAGAAGAAAAAAAAAAAAGAAAAGTATCGAATGCACAGTTTGTAAATGTAAATGGGAAGGGGAAAAAAAGTATTATAAGCGGCACGTGTAGTTAAAAAAGAAAAAAGAGAGAGAGAGAGAGAGAGAAAACGATAAAAGATAAGATCGTAACGTCGTGTACACTGACCTTTTCCTTGTCGAAGACCTGTCCTGGCAAAGCGTGACCCTTGGAACTCCATTGGCACAGATGCTGTCCGCTGTATTCCGAGCAGACGACGTGGAAGCAAGCGTGGCACTCTATAGGACAAAAAGATCCGCACATACAACAACATAGGCTCCGATACGAATTTCCTTGTTTTATTTTTCTATCAACTATTTGTTTTCCATTATTAGAATCGATACTATTTTTCACACCGTTAACTAGCAAAAAATTATTATCACTTCCAATTAAATTTGACTTGACGTTGTTATTATTGTTGCTATTGTTATTGTTATTATTATTATTGTTGTTATTATTATTATTAATATTAATTGTTGCCTTAGAAAGTTCAATATCAATATCAGACGTTGGATCATCAACGAGTGAGTTTTTCGAGATCAACAGTTGAGGACTACACCAACACATGTGCTTATGAAAGGACAATGGTCTGGCACATGACACAAAATGTTTATCATCATCGTCAACGGAATTATCGGATGTCAATAATAGATCCAATGATGATGAACCAATTGCTTGTTCATCTTGGGTCTTGTGTCCAAGAATTGTACTCTCGTGTACCTTGATGGGTGAGAGTTGTTTTGAATTATAGGAAGGACATGAGGGAACAATAAGCGAGGAGGAAGAGGTGGAGGAAGAAATTGATAAAGACACATTTGTTCCATTTGTAAACGCTATTTGACTTTGATTAGAGGTCCGTCGTTGGGCTACGGTGGCGCCTCCTTTTGCCAAGACAGTTGTGGTAGTGGTGCGATCAACGTGATTCGATGATGAAGACTCATATAGAGAACGAATGGATTGGTCGTCGTAGCCACTCGGGGAACTTTCGCAAACGTTCACCACTGACTTCTCCAGGTTGTTTGGCTTGCCCGTTACCGTTGATACTTGCACGAATGAAATATCCGCGGTACAGTAGGTGCCATTCCCAGTGGCGGACAATTTACTGGTGCTAATAGCAAAACCATGCGGACAATCTCTTTGTTGTTGATTTGTGACAATATTTGATGTCGTGGTGATCGACATCGACGATGGATTTGTTGTTGTATTTTGATTTGAACCTTTACGTAGCATATAATTCTCTGAATCAACTGTCAGCAATCGGGACATTGCTGGCGACTTTGAAATTTTGCTCTCATCAATCTGGCGTGTATCTCTTTTGATTGTCTGATGATGATGATGATGATGATGAAGATGTTCGTTGAGCTCGCACTTGATTGACCTGGGGATTGTCTCGTCAAGCTCCTCTGTCGTCAGCAAACCCGTTGGGCTACGTAATTCGTGAATCTTGCCGGGCAAGACCACGGACTGCACCTGTGCCACTGTAGAAGCGCTTGATGCGCGCTTCATCACTAATCACTTGACCTCTTTGGCTCATTAGATAACAATTAGGTCTTGAGACGATTCATTGTAAATGAAGTGCTCTCAGGCGAATCCTGTTCCTCCTTTAAATTACTGCCTTCCATCTTTGCCCTCGACAGAGCCTATTCAAAGTTTCGAAAAGACCCAACCGATTCGCCAGACACTACAAATTCTTTTAAAATCATCATCATTTTTTTTTCTCTCAAAAATTAGATTTTCATTATCGTGTATTTTAGCGACGATGACGACGTGAGAGGTTGGAGAGAGAGATCATGACGGGCAAAAGAGATAAGAAATCTCTTTCTCTCTCTCTCTCGTGTGCGGGTGTCCTCGTGTAAATTCGTTTTCCACGAGTCTTACTCCTCCCTCGACGCACGACCTTTATAAACGCGAGATTCGAAGCGAAACGAAACCGGTTTCGACGCAGCCCACTACAGTGAGCGCAATTTTCGCCGGAACCCACTACAGAAGCCTCGAGACCTGAGCGATTCGACAGGTTTTTCAAGCATCGCTTTTTGCAGGTTCTTTGAAGAAAAAGATTCTAGCACTTGATCGTTAATGACTCTCTTTCCTCTCTATCAAGATCCTTTCTCTCCCCCCACCTCTTTTTCTCATATATATTTGTCAAAAAATCGCTTCCACATTTTTTTCATCCTCTAAAATATCTTCTTTTATATCCTTGATTATTACTATGAATTTTTATTATTCAGTAGCTAAAAAATAATTTCAGAACTAGAAATTTTGACTTCCTTTGTCGAAAGAGAGAGAAAGAGAGAGAGAATCGGCGATCGATGCGATCAGACGACTTTTACGAGCTTGCCAGGGACGATATCATCTTCAGGGGTGACCCTCTTTTTCTATATGGTTGGTAGGAATCATCCGTTAAACCGTTCATATTTTTTTTTTGTCATTTCATGGCAATTGAGAATACTTTTTTTTTTTTAATAAACAATTGTCCGGATACCAATGGAAAAATCCACTGTAACTATGCACTTTATAAACCTCCTTACACTTCACGTTATATATAAATCCAATTTATATTAGCGCACACAAGATCATTCACAACACTTTTCTACACTTGTCACACTTTTTGATGGATACTTTTAAAAAAAAAAAATTTCCCTTCTTTTATTGAACAATCCCGTTTAATTATTTGCAAAACTGTTTCACGTAACGACAGACTCGTTCAATTGTTCATGATCAGGACATTTAATCGGAAATTTATATCTTATCTTTGTGGTAGCAATTTGATTCGCGATTTTTATATTAGCACTGCCCAGTTTTATAAATGTCTTGAGGCGAATCAGTGCCGGAGAAGTGTCGTGGTGGAGTTCCAAGCACGCACTGGTCGACTCGACCGTCGAGCGACTAGAAGGCAAAAGAGATGGTGTGTGCACGACTGCTTCCTCTGGTTGTCGTCGTTCCTTTTTTTTTTTTTATTCCGCGCAAGATCACTTCTGTTGGCCGATAATGATCCGTGTTTTTTTTTCCTTTCTTTTTCAGTGTCTTTGCTGTTAATTGTCAAAAAAATTTTTTTTTTAGATGATCTCAAAAAATTTGCTGGCAAAAAAAGTAGAATATTGTCGGTAGCGGTTCAGCTCACAGCTGACCGGCCGGTTCGCCAGGTTCGGTCAATAGCCATAGCTCGCACCAAAGAGTCGAGGACCGCTCATGCTCGAGTTCGGTTTAATTCGCTCCAAGTCGGTTGTCTTCGTGGCCTTTACCCGTTCAGGAATGTATTTCCATTGCTTGGTACCCGTGGCTCTTGTATCTCGATACTTGTCATTCTCGTATTCCTCACATAGAAACAGATATGCAAAAAAAGGAAAAAAAAAAAAAAACTGTCGACGATTTTTTTTTCTGTTTCGATTAGAAAAAATCTATTAAAATTTTTTGGAGTTGTAAGATTTTTGTACTAGAAAAAGAGAATAATTCTTTTTGAAATGCATTTTGAATGAATAAAAAGAGAATGACCCTGAAATATGCATTGAACTTACGTTAATGAATTGGATAATGTTGATAGCAGGTACAAAAGTTAAATATCAAATTGTTTAACAATTACATAAGAAGGCAAAATAATCCATTAATGTTGCTTTTCTCAATGCGTGTGTGTTACTCAATATTCTCTCTCTTTTTTTTTGCAATGGGTTCATTGAACGAAAATTCATTTGCTTTTGACCTGCCTTTAGCAAGAGTTAAGTAACTTATTGGATTTATTGATCACCAGCTTGTCATTATCAGAATAAGTCAAGAAAACACACAACAGAAAGTCTAATTAAATCTCGTTATAATATTAATAATCTTTTATTATCCAGGAAAATGAACATCTTGAGAAAATATAATATCTTCTTGTTGCTATACGGGCTTATAATAAAACCATTCATAATTTATTTATTCAATATATAAAGAATAATCATTAATATATACAGAAAATGTCAATTCGTAAAATGCGCATGAGCCAAATTTATTTTCGATACCTTTTTTAAGAGGTCACTTCACCTCATCGAGTTTTAATATTAAATTTTCACGCCAAAGTGCAAATTGTGGAAAATTTAAGAATTTTCAATTTGAAAATATATATATTTAAAAATTATATTCACACTTCTTTTTTTTTTTTCTTTATATTTGTGAAATTTTCATCTTTAGTCGTAATTATTATCATCACTAGAGGTAATTTTATATTATTGACAAGTTCATAAAAATATCATTAGACAAGTGACAATGCATATTTTCCCATCAAACTTGTTATTCTCCGTTAATATTTTTTCAAAAGATTTTGTTTAACATATTTTGAAATTCAAATAAAAGTTTTTCACGTATTTGAGAAATTCGATTCAAATATGTGGAGAGAAACCATTAAAATCTATTATTATACACTTGGATCTAAAGAACATTTTTGTATATAATATTTGAATTTGATCTTTGAGGAAGTGTTGTTGAGGTTTTCAAAATTTCGTTCTCTTTCAACTAAAAGCTTTTCATTTTTTTTATAGATCTTTTTAAAAGAATAGTTTTATTAATCGTCATCGTTTCTTTGCTTATCTGAACCTCATCTCATCATCAGTATTCCATCATCGGAATATTCTAATGTGTGATCATTAAGAATTCAGTCTTGGTACCACGTGCAATGTGTGATTAGTAAGATGAGTTTTCTGTGTGCATAAACTTGTTTCCACATTTTGTAATATGCCGCTGATCATAATAATCGCATACACGCGAGGACAAAGTTTCAAATGTATATAGTTTTGTCTAATGATAATGCCGCGCTCTTCTCTTTTATATACGTTACAGAAACATTCGTGGGTGTAACATAGCTAACCTTCCGGCTGTCGCACACACCTTGTTCGCCTTCGGCTTGATTTAATCGATTACTCGGTTAACGTATCGCTTTGCAGAGGAAATATTCATGCTGATGCTAAGACATGCTGCTGGATAAAATCAAGTGTACTAGATTGAGGAAGTAGTGCCTTGGATATATACTCTATAAACGACCTGATTCAAAGAGAAATTTTAATTGCAATCAGATTGTTATATACTCCCGTTGAAAATAAATTTTCCAATTGCAAATATCATATTAAAGCATATTACACACATGTATAAAAGTGATTAAAGCTGAGTCTTTAAAATAAAATTACTTTTCAAAGTTTATTGTTATAACCCAGTAGTAAATGAAGACTCGAGTCAGTAATAGCTTCTATCAATTAACTGCTAATTGAAATTACAGTTAATTGAATGGAGCTATTCGCCTCTTATATATGGTATAGCTAAAGACGATTCATTTAATCAATTCACTTTCGTTAAATGCATATTTCATTTTGACAAAATTTTTCCTATTACTAATTTTATAAAAGACAATATTTATTATCTTTTTACAAAAAAACTTAATTCTTGGGAAAATATTTGATTTCTTTTCTTTTCTTTACAAGGGACCATTGCATATGATTTGATTATCACGTTTACTTTCGTTCTTATCCAATGCTGTGCAATATTTGCCAAGGTGTGAGAGTGAGTAAAACTTACACGCGCTCTGACGACCGAAGGGTTCTACATACATATATACAGAAAGGGATGTGACAAGGATGTGAAAGTGAAAAGCAGCTTTCCAGGGTGTCCTGGATAAAGGAGTAGAAAGGGAGCTCGGGGACATGGGATGATCGAATCTATGCACACGCATGCGCTTCATATTAAACATCCTGTTCAAGGTCGGATTCAACGCCGTTCCTTAATGTAAAGTCGCCCCGGTCCCGCAATTATTTTTTTTTTCCAATAATTAATAAAGCTCACAACAATTAAGATGAAAAACTTGTTGAAAATGGTTACTAAATTTCCTCACCACTATTATACATAAAAAATATCGCATTTTCCATCTATCTTTTAAGAATATTTCACAATTATTATACAATTTGCAATGAAATTTTATAGATTTACATATATATGTGAATAAAATAGTACTTGAAATGAGTTTACATTGGAATATTTATTTTCGACCTGAGAGATGGAAAATATTGTTAACAGAAATAAATCTAAAAATAGATATTAAAAAAAAATTTTAATACAATCCTAAGAAGCTTCTCATTCGTTTCTCTTCGTTTATTTTCGACCCTAAACGACATGCTTAGTCTTCAAAGTTAAAGCACACGAGAAATTCATGCTCACAATATCCTAAACGATAAAACTATATCACTTTCAACAATATTCCTTTCTTTTTATTCGATTAAAAAATCATGAAACTTTATGTTTTAAACGATTAATGGCAATCGTTTTTCAAACAAAGCTACATCTATAATAATAATAATAATAATAATAAAAAAAGTCTATAACTTTCTACGCAATCTTCGGGACAATAAAATGAGATTATAAACCTTTGAAAGTGTTTTATGCTTCCTCTGTTATTTCATTACCTTTACTCATGATTTTATGACAACTGTTTAAAATCGAAACCATACAATTTAACCTCCCATTTCAAAATAAATAAATAAATTCTCAACTCATTACAATCGACATGTTCATGTAATAATAAAAAGAATTTTTATTTATTTATTTAAAAAAGTGCTTTAACAAAACAGTTAAGAAAATATATTCATTCTTTAAAGTATTGGTTGAATTAAACTTTAAAAATTTTAAAGCAAATTAAAATGTTGATACACGAGTGTAACAAAACGTGGGCATTTAACTTGGCTCATCCGTATGAGCGATGGTCAACTGTAATTATGGTTCTTTTACTAACAGTAATTAGGTACTTTGTGCTACATATATATATACGCAAGAAACGCAGATGTTTAACCCTTTAATGGTTTCGTCAGGTAATAGACAAGTTGAACTTGGTATTCTATAAAAGTCTCAACATACATTATTCGCATTATATTAAGTATTTAATGATTTTTATCATTTTTCTTTAAACGATCATCTGAGGGTAAAAAACAATTATGAACATTCCCACCTATCAATAACAATGTTTTATATATAAATGAAAATTAATTATGACTCGTTAATATATCGTGTCACATGATTATTCCGTAAAAATCATTAGTTAAAATTTTCATTTTAAAGAATTTTATTAGATATAATTATTTTTTAGACAAATTTTTATTTTTCAAATTAACATTTGACAGAATTTCTGTTTAAACAAATTTTTACTTAATAGAATTCTTATGCGCCGAATTTCTATCTGTCCGAAATAATTGCAAATGACCGAACGAACAATCGACAGAACGATTTTGGCGCGATATTTAAAATCCATAAATCACAATTCTCTTTACAATTATTTAATTGGTGAATATTTTAACGAAGCTGAAGTACGCAACGTTTATGATAAACGATTTTTAAAGAAATAATTTTTTAAAATGAAAAATTCTATAATTTTTTGCCGAAAAAATATTTCTTGTAGTTTTCATTAATCAACAAATTATAAAAAAATATTTTTTAGGCAAAAAATTATAAAATTTTTCATTTTAAAAAATTATTTCTTTAAAAATCGTTTATCATAAACGTTGCGTACTTCAGCTTCGGATATTTTAAACATCACCGCGAAATTTTTCTGTCGATTGTTTGTTCGGCCATTTGCAATTTCGGACAAATAAAAATTACCTAAAAATTCGGTAAAAAAAAGAAATTCTAACAAATGAAAATTCGTGTAAAAAATATTTAATAAAATTGTTGAAAATGAAAATTCTCACTAATAATTTTTATAGGATAATCATGCACCCCTTCATTCGATTAAATTATACGAAACTTAATACCAAAAAAAAATCAATTTAACAGAATTTTTATTTAACGAAATCCGAAAAAATTGAAAGGAAATTGAAGTAGAATATTTGCAAGCAGAAAATTTTCCAGGAGGGCAATATTATTTTAAGGAAAGAATCAGTTTTCATTTTTATTGAATATATATATATAAGTATAAACGAAATCTATATTTGCGTTTCGAACACACCCTTTGTTTTCTTTTCCTTGGGATCTCATAACAAATTGAAATGAACTCTTATACATTGTAATGGAGTCATTATATACCGCTTTAGCCACAACCTACGATATTTTAAGATCAAGTTTATTCAGATTGACTTTGTAAAAAAAAATGATTTAAAACTTGTTATTTCAGTATAAATGTCTAATTTAGAGGAAATATTTATACAAGAAGAAATATATATATATATAGTATTAAAATAATATTGCATATAGTAAAATTTCAAAAGAAAATAACTTGAGGCATTTTTTTTTTTGATTCTTCCTTTTTGCAT